CGGCGACTTGGGGGACTCCTACTACATGGTTTGTATTGCGCTTGACCAAGCCTGAAACTACAAGTAAGCTTCAAGTAAAATTGATACATTACCTTGTGCATTTCCACCGATTAAAGATACCACCCCTAGATGAAGGAATAGTACTTCCAAAGAAAATGCCACATCTACCTATGAGACAGATAAGGCAAGTGAAGACGATACCAAACTTCGGTACTTAGAAGTTTCGTGATTACTCAGCGGCTTGGATCTTGCAAGTCCCCTACCGAGGAGCTTCCCTCACTCGGGAACTTAATGGAGCATTGTTTGTACCATACGTGACCAATCCCGAAACTACTGAGCACCGGTCAACGTTATACCGTCCATGACCCAGAAGAGTTTCCCTCTAATCAGGAGGCCAATCACAACGTGACAACATCAAAAACCAATCACAACACAACACGTGTCAATGTCAGAACAAAGCTAGAAACTCTCTTCTATAAAAGGAGATCATTCTCCCACAATATTTCCTAATGTCATTTGTACTAAATCATTCACTAGCACTCACAAAATGAGAGCTTGAACCTATGTACTTGTGTAAACCCTTCACAATTAATAAGAACTCCTCTACTCCGTGGACGTAGCCAATCTGGGTGAATCACGTACATCTTGTGTTTGCTTCCCTGTCTCTATCCATTTACATACTTATCCACACTAGTGACCGGAGCAATCTAGCGAAGGTCACAAACTTAACACTTTCTGTTGTACCAAAGTCCTTACTGATTTTGTGCATCAACATAATTCATACATGAATTGGTAAGTGATGCTTTATATATATAAATGTGGTGATGTGGACGCTCAGGTAAGCTCAGGTAAGTTGTGTTTGATTATGTGAATCATCGATGATGCGATATGTGATTGAATAATGATGAGCTCATAAAACTGCACTTAGGGTGATTGTGTTTTAGCCATAGATATGACACATGCCTGTTTATTATGTCACATTTCGCATCATATGCTCATATTGGATCCAATTTAGGTGCACAGTCTTGTCGTACAGACCTTATTTATGGTTCCGACTCATAGGTGACTAACGATTTATTGCCCAGCTATTATATGAGAGTAGAATTGAGCATGATTGTATTACACCCATTATTGTCATATAGACCTGTTTGTTTGGTTCCGACTCTTGTGCAGTATGTTGCCGTATAGGTCATTGTAGTGACTCCGACTAGAGTGACTTTGAGCTATGAATTCAGCCGTACAGACTACCACAGGGGTTTCGTCTAACATGTTATATTTCTATGAAATTAACCTTACTTGAATTGCTTACTCTGTTATATCTTGGCATGGCATACATATGAATATGATTATGTGAAGTATGAATTGAATTGATATGATTTCATATATATTTATGTATATGCTTATATCTTGATTATGAGAAAATTATACATGTTTTACATCGAGGGGTTAGATATGTTGATAAATGAAATGATTTTGTAAAACATTTATTTTTGCCCACTCACTTTTTCTGTTTTGCGCCCCTCTAGGTTTTAAGTAAGCTTGTTGTGGGTGGCTTGAGGACGTCGGCAGTTCTGACCTATTTAAGTAATAGTAGGACATTCCTGGTACTGTATAACTAGTACTTGTCCTACTGGACTGCACCTAGACTTTTTATGCTTTGATTATGAGTGTTTACTTTTGTAACTAACTCCTATCACTTCCTGTTTAGTACTGCACTCTAGTAATTTGGTTTTTTTAATTATTCGTATATTTCCTATCATTATTGCTTCCGCGCTGTGCACATGGCTACGTCACTCTCATGTGACAGCTAGCATGCCTTGATGTCGGTCGGGGTGTGTCATAGGAGTTCCGGTATTTCTCAAGGGAAATTTTGTCATTTTCACCCTAGAATCCACGTGTCGCCTTTATATTTTTCTCGATTATTTTTGGCTCCACACCCATTGCCCGGGGGACCAAGGACCATTTCAATCCAATTGCCTCCCTCCCTTGCTCTAACCCATGTGGGCGATTGGGCTTGGGGGAGGCCCGCGTGAGAAGGGAGGCGCGAATGAACGACCCGAGCGCCTGAAGGCGCTGATGCAAAGATGACATTAGCCACGTTATAAAATTAATAAAAAATGTAAAAAATTAATAAAAAATCTGAAAAAAAATTTTAAAAAAAAAAAAAAGATTTAATTTTTCTGTAAATTTCTTATCATTATCTTCCACCTTACACCACAATTTTATACTTTCTCAAATACTTTGGGTTGTAGTTTCTTATTTAATGACACGTGGCGCAACGAGACCGATTAAAAATCTTATCCGAAATTACAAATAAAATTATTTTTTATTATTTTATAAAATAAAACATACTAATATTTTATTGCATATTGTCATGGCTATTCAGTTTATGAATGGAGATGCAAAAGGTAATTACTATTCATTTAAGGTAGTTACTATTCATTGGAAGGGATTTAATAGGCAGTTGCTTTGGAGGGCCTTCCCACACTGGAAGTGCTCTTATAGCGACACATGTGTTGCACACTTGGTGAAAAGAGTATACAATTGGATACTAATAAACTAAGCAAAGGTCGATGCTATGGATAAAGCACATATAGCTAAGAAACAATAAGTTAGTAACCTTAACTCTTCGATCCTTTATGCTTTTTATCCAACATTCTTTGTCCAAAAAAAAAGAAAGAAACAAAAGCAAAGGTAGATGTTAGTACGGATAAAGCAGATCCACTAGAAGATGGTAACCTTAATGTTCGATCATTTTAAGCTTTATTATTTTAAACGATACAGCAAAGACACTGCTTAATCTGTTGCAGACATTCTCCAGCCGACACCCTTTCAAAGGACATGAAATGTAATTTTCTACAAAAACGGAATATTTCTTGAGAAATAACGAAAATCCTGTTCTTAGGGGCGTTATGTCACATCCCGGCCCGGGGCGGATCAATTCTCGGACCCGCTCCACTATCATAGCACGATATTGTTCGTTTTGAGCCCCGACCACGCCCTCACGGTTTTGTTTCTGGGAACTCACGAGCAACTTCCCAGTGGGTCACCCATCATCGGAGTGCTCTGGCCACCTTCTCGCTTAACTTCGGAGTTCCGACGGAACCCGAAGTCAGTGAGCTCCCAAAAGGCCTCGTGCTAGGTAGGGATGAGAATATACATATAAGGATCACTTCCCTAGGCGATGTGGGATCTTACACGTTACCTTCATATAGACGGTACAAATAATGATACAAGTAGATAATAAGTGTAGTACTACAAGACTTAGATAAATAATGTGCTGCAATTGTTGAAAATTAATACAGTAAAAATAATAGACCTAGAATTAGCAAAGTTGACTAGTCTACACTCACGTTCGAATCTCATATTCTGTCGTTTCGATTGGATTAAAACTTCTCTTGAATTAGAAAAAAATAATATATAAACATATATACATACATACATATACACACATACATTCTTTAAGGGAAGGGATTCTCATTTCTTTTTTTAACATTGGATTAGTTGTGGGGTCCACGCCACATTGAACTTCAATGATTTGAACTATCTATTTTTTAAGTTGCACCTCATAGATCATCTTTGCCAAATATTGGCAAAATCGGAAATATTCGAGGCATCTAATTGAGTTTAAAGAAATTGACAAACACTATGTTCTAAGATATATTGAAATTTCATCGTGACAATTAACTGAGATAGTGGTTTTTCGATGAATTGAATTTTTACATAGATGATCTATGAATCAAGACTTGCAAAATAAACAATTCAAATCGTTGAAGTTCTATGTGGAAATGAGTCCACAACTAATCCCTTTATTTGAAAAAAGTGGAAATCAATTCTTTTAAAGGCCTAATACACACACACATGTGTCGCACGATTGGTGAACAAAATCTACAATAGACACACACATACATGTGTTGCACGCTTGGTAAACAGAATCTACAATAGGAAACTAATAAACTCAGCAAAGGTGGATGCTTGTACGGATAAAGCACATCCAAGTTCCAACCAAAAAATAGGGATCCCTTCCTTGAAATGCCTTATAATATAAATATATAGACATGTACTGCACACTTGGTGAACAGAAACTACAATAGGAAACTAATAAACTAAGCAAAGGTAGATGCTTGTGCGGATAAAGCACATCCAACCAAAAAAATAGGATCCCTTCCTTGAAATGCTTGATAATATACCTATATAAACATGTGTTGCACACTTGGTGCACGGAATCTATAATAGGAAACTAATAAACTAAGCAAAGGTAAATGCTTGTACCGATAAAGCACATCTAGTAAAAAAAAAAATTAGGAATCCCTTCTCTTAAAATACCTGATAATATACATATATAGACATGTGTTGCACGTGGATTGTCTGTCTTTCTCATCTCATACCCTTTACTTCCTTTCTTATTTTTATGGTCACAGTTAAGCCACATCAACATTTTATATTGATCTTTTTTATAGAAATATAAGAAAAAAAGTAATGGAAATGTAAAATATTGACGTGACTTAACCGTGACCATATAAATAGGAGGGGATGGAAAGGGTATGGAATGGAGGGATGGCAGACAATCGAGGTCTGTGTTGCACACTTGGTGAACAAAATATACAGTAGGAAACTAATAAACTGGATTTGGATCCTCTCCTGAGCTTAAGGAGAGGATCCTCCTGACCAACACACTTAGGTCGTTGGATGAAAATCCAACGGTTATAATTATTATAACTTTAAAGGAACCTCTTTGTTTGTAGCCGTTAGATTTTCATCCAACGGTCCACATGTGTTGGTCAGGAGGATCCTCTCCATAAGCTCAGGAGAGGATCCAAATCCTAATAAACTAAGCAAAGGTAGATGCTTGTACAGATAAAGCACATCCAGCTATAAAATGGTAACCGTAAATATTCGATCATTTTAAGCTTTTATTATTTTAAACAGACTTTTTTAATTTATTAAGCAAAGCGTAACAGTAGAAGCAGCAGCAGCAGCTAGACTATAAATCGAACCGAAAACCGCCACGTTAAACTCGACAAGCTAGCTAGTATTCAGATGGCATCCCGGAGAACGCACACTGTTTACAACGATGTGAACAGTCCATTTGAAGAAATTAAAAAAAAGAAAAAAATTGAAGAAATTGAAGAAACTAACAAAATTAAAAAAATTGATGGAATTGAAGAAATTGAAGAGTTGAAAATACCCTATCAAGATGCCAAAAAGGGTAACTGGACAGGCGTGGTGCACTACTACGAGAAGAAGAAAGGGGCTAAATTGGACCGGCCAATGAACCTGGACGGGGACAATGTACTTCACCTTGCGGGTTCTTCTTGCAGCAAATCACAATGCAAAGGAGTCCTCCAAAATTTGATTGATTTATGCAGCGATTCAACCACCATGGCCAAGAGTTTGAGGGCTCCGAATATAGACGGAAACAATGCTCTTCACCAGGTGAGTGTGTCCGGCAGTGTGGAAGCAGCTAAGTTCTTGGTGAAGAAGTTCAACGATCCTGTGGTTCGTACTGATGAAGAGAATAATGATGCACTGGAGCTGCTATGGACTCGGAACCATTTAGGAGAAACTCCGCTCTACAGAGCGGCTACTCTCGGTCACACTGACTTGGTCAAATTTTACTTGGAAACACTGATGCTGAAATGCAAGGAGAAGTATCAGGGAATGTCTTGGGAAATGTATCGGCAAGACTGTTGGCCGCAGCTCATTAGGCCTGACGGAATGTCCGTTCTTCGTATGGCTGTCGTCGGCCAACATTTTGGTCTCTCTCTCCCTTAAAAATGCATACACTGATTAACAACACTTTATATATATATATATATATATATATATATATATATATATATATATTTATGCAGAGTTGCAGACTAATAACTTTTGTTCTATTGTCTTCCACAATGCAGAGACTGCTCATTGGTTGCTAAAGTTCTACCCTTTTCTAGGACAAATGAAAGACGAAAATGGATTGACAAGCCTTCAATTGTTAGCCCAAATGCCAACTGCCTCTGAGCCACATTGTCAACAAAGCCAATGGAAGATGCTCATTTATCATTGTACGTATCATTACTCTAGTGTACACGTGTATGTTTGTGCGTGAGCGTTTCCTTTTGAAGCATTAATCTCATACTTAATTGTTGTTATATATCCAGGCCTTCGTGTTAGAGAAGATGACGTGGAGAGCGGCATGGATAGCACCCATCTCCGTCAATCCATGGATAGCACCCATCATCAGGATGACGTGGAGAGCGGCACGGATACCAACCATCCCCGTCAATCCATCTTTCGGAAGAAACTTGCAGGTAATCAAATTTGGAAGAGGATCCACTCCTGATCTCAAAATGGGGATCCTCCTGATCGGGTCATACGGGCTGTTCAAATTTAATCCAACGGTTATAATTATTATAACTTTTAGAAGAGCCTCCTGTTTGGAACCGTTGGATTAAATTTGAACGGCCCGGATAATCCGGTCAGGAGGATCTCCATCCTGAGCTCAGGAGTGGATCCTCTTCCATCAAATTTGTCATCTAATTAATTGATCAAATAATTAAACTTAAACGGCTACCTAGATAGGACTTGGATTGTCTGCCCTCCTAGTTGTGGTGCCCTTCCATGCCCTCCTATTTTGTGCGGTCACGGTTAAGCCACGTCAATATTTTATATTTTTATTATTTTTTGTCTTATTATCTTATTAAAAAATTAATATAAAATATTGACGTGGTTTAACCGTGACCGCACAAAATAGGAGGGCATGGAAGGGCACCATAACTAAGAGGGCGGACAATCCAAGTCCACCTAGATAAAGCGTTTCTTCAATTGGGTTTTTTCAAACGACATTTTGAATTTGGTCTATAACTATCAATATTTTTTGACTAAAATCTTATTGGTTTTCAAATTTTGATCGAAATCTCTGAAATTAATGTGATAATATAGTTCTATGTAGGTTATTATATTTTTTTAATTAAAAATTGAATCTATAGTTGTTTGTATTAATGAGATTTTAAATAATAAAAAATCCATAATTTGTGGATCAAAATATAAATTATACTCTCCAATATATTTTGTGTGTGTGTGTATAAATATGTATATAAACATGAGTACTTTCTTCAAAACCACACAAAAAATAATAGATATTAGACTTCATAACATTAGTAAATTTCTTTGATTAAACTTGACATGGATACATTCTCAAATCAAGAAAAAGAATGTACCCATATAAGTTTAAAAATTGATTAGAAAAAAAATTGAATAGATTTTATATTAGAAAAAAAAAGGGTACATTTTACTATAACAAATTGATATATTTAATAATGGATACATTTTAAGATTAAAAAAAATTATAAAATTACATGAATGGGTACATATAAGATTAAAAAATTGGAAAAATTTTTATAAAAAATTAAAGTGTACAAACTTATTCTAATTTTTTTTTATTTTGGAAATGATTTGAATTGAAAATTAGTTAGGAGTTTAATAAAGGTGTGAGTATTAAAATCCTAAATCAATTATTAATTTTTATTTTAAAAATTATGTAACTTATATGTAAATTCATTATTGTATTAATGTTAGATTCAATCAGAGAACATTAGTAACTAAGGACCGGATACTAATTTTTCCTTTTTTCAATGTTCCTAACGAAGTCGCACGCATAAAATATTTGGCAGTTGTTATGAAGGCTTATTATTCATTATGGGACTCCCTTGCTAAAGGTTTGTTTACTTTCTGCCTTTGCCTCAAACTGTTTTCATGAAGGCAAACTCTTGTTGTTGGAACTCTAAAAAATAAACATTATTTACTCATTTCTTATGATTTTACATGAGAAGATGAAGAGTGCAGATAACATCTCTCTATAACATGTTAGTTAATGCATACATATGTTTGATCATGTGATGAATAGAATCAGAAGTCCACGACGGCATAATCTACAGAATATGGAAGGACAAGAAAAATAAAAAATCACTAACGAAACTCATCAAATTGCTCGTCAACTCGGACCATACTTGGTTGATTACTGACAATCAAGAAAACAAGAGGACCATTTCTCTGGGGCCATTTAAAGATGGTGATGACGGAGGCGAAAAAGGAACCCAATCGAACAAGACAATTGATAGTGATGGAGGTGATAAACAAAAGGACGCAACCAAATTGAAAAAGGAGGCGAGGAAGGAAGTTTACAAGTCTACCCCATTGCTTGACAAGATAATTGATAGTGATGGAGGTGATGAACAAAAGGAAGCAAACAAATTGAAAAATATCACAGGAAATGTACCCATTGTGCAGGAGATACTAGAGCAGCATCCTCAAGCAGTCAAGTATGTTAACGAAGAGGGAGTGGCTTGGTTGCTTGTGCTAGCAAATGCTGATGGAGGTGATAAACAAAAGGAAGCAACCAAATTGAAAAAGGAGGCGAGGAAGGAAGTTTACACGTCTACCCCATTGCTTATAGCATCTGTCACAGGAAATGTACACATTGTGAAGGAGATACTTGAGCAGCATCCTCAAGCAGTCGAGCATGTTAACGAAAAGGAACACAACATTTTGCACCTGGCCATTAAGAACCGTCAGGAAAAGATCTTTGATCTCATCAAAAGCAACCTAACTGTGATGTCGAAGCTGAGTAAGAGGATAGACAGCAATGGAAACACCATATTGCACCAGGCTGCAGATAGGAGCTACTACTCTGTATCATTGTCTAACAAATTAATAGGCCCTGCCATGCAATTACAAGATGAGCTACGCTGGTTCCAGGTAATGTTTTCTTGCTAGACTTATGTTGTTACAAAAATATTTATATAACCAATTAAGTCAATCTAAGAGGTCGCACTTGGTGCGATGGCAAGTGCCTTCGCCCATTAGTGGTAGGTCTCGGGTTCGAGACTTGGGAGCAGCCTCTCCATAAATTGGGGTAAGGCTAGCCGACATTCACATCTCCCAGACCCTGCGTAAAGCGGGAGCCTTGTGCACTGGGTACGACCTTTTTTAACCAATTAAGTCAATCTATCATTTAAGACACTTATACTGTCAGGCAAATACTTATGTTACTAATTAAGTTTGTTCACTTGGTAAAAGACTTCTGTTGTCAGACAAATACTTCTGTTACAAAATCTTTATATATGTGGACATTATTAATGTGTGTACGTGTGTTTGTGTCAGCGTGTAAAAGAGATCGTACCGCCTCATTACATCATTCACCACAACAAGAAGGATAAGACAGCGGAGGAGCTGTTCAACGATTGGCATGACCAACTTCTGGAGGAAGCACAAAAATGGGTAAAAGAAACGGCTCAGTCATGCTCAACGGTGGCGGTGCTAGTGGCTACTGTAGTCTTTGCAGCTGCCTACACCATTCCTGGGGGTACTAATGACCAAAATGGCCTTCCTCTTTTCCAGAACGATCCTCTCTTTATGCTCTTCACTAGCATGGATGTTGTGGCCATCGCCAGCTCATTATCTTCTGTGGCATTCTTTCTCTCGGTCCTCTCCTCCCCTCTCGAGTATCCACTTTTCGTTAGCAGCATTCCTAACAAGGTCATGGCAGGATTCATCTTTCTCTTCATCTCCATGGCAACAACTATGCTCGCCTTTGCTGCCACCATTTTGTTGTTGATTCGCGTCGAGAAGAAATGGACCAAGTCTTTACTTTACCCTATTGCCTTTTTCCCAGTCCCTCTATTCGGCCTGCTTCAGTTTCCTATGTACCAATCCTTTCGAGTCATGTTTCATGAAGTTAATGCCTGGTTTTTCAAACCCGTACTCTACTTTCTTAGCCTTAGGAGATCACTATGGTGCAAGAATAAGAAGCATGAATAACATCAACTTTTCATCATAGTACAAGATATGGTGCAGATTCATAATCTTGCAACATAAGTATTTATTTGTTGTTATCATTTGAATATTTCGGATTTTTTCATATTTTCTCCCCTATTTTCACAATGTTATTGTCTCTTCATTTACAAGTATGGGCAGTAAGTGAAAAATAAAGGCTTGTCAGAAATTGTATTTTAAAGATTATGTCTCTTGCATGCTTTTATGATCTGTAATCATCATTTGTGTTTATATGTCATCCTTAAGCAAGTGGTGGATTTAATTTTTTCTTCAACTCGGGTTCAAATCCTATCCTCTCCTCTTTGTGTAAATTAAAGTAATAATATTACTTTGTCATAAACTTAAGAAATAAAAAATAAATCATATTTAAGTGTAATCAACTTGGTTAGACTAATCTGCTTCCCTTCTACACCAACACTCACATCCTCCTTCATGATAATTCAGCAGGGCCAACCTTGAGGGTAGTCTATGTAGGCGCCCGCCTAGGGCCCCCACTTTGGAGAGGCCCCCGAATTTTTATATATCCTATAGTTACGTATAAATAAGAAAAAGTAAGAGATATTATAATTCATTTGTTAGTGCAGTGGAAATTAAAGCTTCCTTTTTCTGTGGGGTGTTCAATACCTAGAGCTACCTGATGAGTCAATATTATCCTATATATTCTACCCTAATCTTAGTATTAACTAGCAAATACGCTCAGGCGTTGATGCGGGAACCAACTATTTCAAGCGTAATAGGATGAATAAAACACATTGTCAACCAACAACGTACGATGATAAAACCATAAGACAAAATCGAAAGGTGACAGTGATCCAAGTCGTTCATTACTCAAATGTAAGGAATTATCAAACAATGATCAGTAGTTTTACATATTCCTAAAGCGAAGTGTTACCGACACTCAAAAAAGTTCATCATAAACTCCTCGATGTGCAATTTTGTTCTTATATTTTTATACAAAAGCTTAGAAATCTTGGACAACCAAAATGCAAATTGAAAAAAGACCCAGATCATGAAAACATAACAAATTACCTATATCAAAGAATGAAAGAAAACACATGAAATCAAATCAAAAACATAATATTGGACAAAACATGAAGAGGGTGAGAAAGGGAACTGACATGTATGAAGATATTTGCATCTGGTAGTGGCCTCGCTTGTAGCAGAGTTTCTTAATTGAAATCCAGAAAAAAATGCAAAATTTAAGCAATGCAGAGGAAACCCAGATCCCACCCCATGTTTATCCTCGAAGGTTTTTTATAAATCAACCAACCATGAATTAGAGAAGCAGAGGATTGAGTAAGGGGAGGAGAGAGTTCCACTGCGAGAGAGAGTGTTTGAGCACGGTGGTGCTGTTGGAAACGACCCAAATGGACAAACCCAGACCTCCAGCCACGATCCCTACCCCTCCCTCAAATCCCTACGGCCCCCATGCTTTTCTCTGACTGTTCCCCCTCTCCCACTCATGAAATCGAGGATCTGCAGCAATGGCGATGAGATCCCCACTCCATCTCCCTCTCTCACTCTGTCTCCCTCTCTCCATCTCCCTTTCTCCATCTCCCTCTCCCTGTCTCTCTATCTCTATCTCTATGTCTATCGACATGACCACCCATCCCTGAAACCCTCATCGAGCGATCCCTACTCCTCCCTGCCCATTTCCCTCTCTCTCTATCACTATCTCAGAGGCGGCATGGCAGAATGGAAAATAATTTCACAAAAAGATGCACTACAAAGGCGGTACGAACGGAGTCACCATCTAAAATGCACCAATGCAGATAACACACATTTCACCAGAGTACATCTAACAAAATCACAAATCAATATAGGCATCTCTAAAGAATTGAAATAACCAAGAGATGGGTGAACCAAGCAAAGCAGTTTGATTTTCACTTGCATTCAATTCAGCTGACATCAACAGCCACTGTACAATCAAATGGATGAACTTAAAAGTTCCTATTCACAAAAGTTGTAATCTAAGAAAATATTGTCTGTTTGCATAAGAAAAGAAAAGAAAAGAAATCCAACAAATCCAGCATTGTTTCATAAATATAATATTTACGCAGTATAACTATTGCGACATGATTTTATGACACTACGACACATACTATAGGACCAACTTCATTTCTCACTCCTTTTAGACTAAGTGATAATTTTAAAATGAAGGCTTACAATTTATTGAACTAACAAATCTAAAGCCACCTATATATATATGCAGTTGAAATTCATATGGAACGTACCCAAGAGAGTATCTTGAGTTTCATGGTGGAAGCTGAACATACTTGGACACAAGGGCCTATCAATCAATCTACAAATGAGAACCTGCACAGAACCAGACAGATCAATTCCATCAACTATAGTACACAACAATGATCTCTCAAATAAAGCTAAAGCAAATATTTAAAAAATAAATAAATAAAGGGAGAATGTTGAGTACACAACAACCCATACCCATACCTCCCTTACCCGTTCCCTTTAACCCTCGCATAAAATCCTCCCATCTCTCTCTCACCGTTGTCCCATCTCTCTGTCTCTGCAAATCGCAGAAAACAAACCCTAAACCAAATCCCGCCTAAATCCTCCCACACTTCTCTCAGACACTCCCTATCTCTCTCTGCAATTCCTAAAACAAATCTCCTAAATCCTATCTCGGACACCCCCATCTCTCTACAAATCGCACAAACAAAACCCCGAACCTAATCCTTGAAATCCCACCCAAACCTAATCCCTGAAACCCTTTCTCTCGGACACCCCATACCACAGAAAATGCATCTGAACTTTAGTTTATAAAATCGCAGGCCGCCTACTCTCTTCCTACCTTTTAACAATTCACCAGTAAGATTATCCACTAAAAACTTATATTAGCAAATCCAATGACAAATGATGTGAAACTGAAGCTGTAATGAAAGCTTATATTAAGAAAGAATGAAAAGTCATCTTTCTACAACTTGAAGATAATGATTTCAAAACTAAAAAGGTCACCCGACAACGAAAAATGCATAGCCATCCAAATGGTAATTCTGATCAGTGGTGTCATTGTTCTGAAAGGTGATTCCATGAAACCTTTGAAAGTACCATTAATCAGAGATGTGTCTACTTTGGCAGGTCTGTTCATCAGTTTATTTGGGAAATCAAAATTGTAAACCCCCGAAATGTTGAACTGTTGGGCAAGCTTAAGGGGCATTGAAGGTGGTATATATGAAATACCATTGAGGGTAGTGCGCCACTTCCCATTTATAAGTTCTGCAGGTCTATCGAGGATAACATAGATATCTGTGACAGTGATTTCACCATATTTTAAAGATCTTTGTGGGTTTGGACGAGCAGCACCAGCAGAAACATTCCACCAGCAATTGTACAACCGTCACGGAGAAGATGTAACAATAGTCAGCCAGCATTTGAGAACTATATACCATCAAAGAAAAGACCAAAAAAAGGGTTATTAATGTATGAACTTCAAGGGAAAGAAACAAAATATCAGGCAGATGAAACTTTCCCTAGATATTAAATATCATTCAACCTTGTATGTAATATAAAACAAACGCTTATGAAAAAAGAATATTTTTGTCGGAGGTTAATGACTGACAACATTGATAATAGGGTAAGCAATTTCTGTACATATGAAGGTTATCACCATTGCCATTAAAATTTAGGGAGTAACTGAATGAGTGTTTGTTAGTAAACCGAAAAGAAACATAATCAACTACAACCTTATGGATCTTGCTTGATTCATTTGAGTAATATGTGTCGTAGTAATCATTAGGAGGATCAGGGAGAGGACCTGATGCAGGTCCTTGAGAATTGGAGTAGTGCAATGAATAATTTCCATAGAAAGTAACTAAAAAGACGGTCTAGCATCTAAGAACCAATGAATAATTGCCATATACGGATATGCATGCTATAAGAAACCATTCATATTCAGTTCCAGAGACAATCTCTCTTTTCTTGAGTCCCTTTTGAATGATATTTCTTGTGGCTTTGGATCGACAATAGTACTTATATACAAAAGATTACGAAACATTGTTTTACTTACAGACAATCTCTAGATACTCGATATGCAACTAAATCAGCAAACAGTCTTTACTTATTCAACATATCTACAGAACCAGATTGGATCAGATATCAGACATCCAATTGTCAAACATTATGTTCTCTCGCCAGATAAGACATTGGATTGCACACTAAGTAAATAAAGAGCCCAAATTGGAAAATACCCAACACCAATTAGACACAAATAATACAGACACTGATCAAATTAATTAGTGCACATATAAAGAGATAGAAAACATAGGGAAATATAGGGGAAAAACCAATCAGACACAAATAACACACTGTGAAGAGATCGAAGACATAGGGAAAATATAGATGACCTTAGTTTACTTAGTGCACATCGCTAATGTTTCTTATAAAGATATAATAATTAAAGGCAACCTACAATTGAGCCTGATATCGGACTTAACTTGTTAAGTTATCTCGGTTTGTTTAATAATTGGGAAACATATCGTAACCTCCTTAAGGTCTCATCAGTGCATATATATTGGGAGATATGTGCATAAATATGGAGTAAAGAAGTGGTGCATTTATGGCCAGATTTTTATTCATTTGGTATTCAATTTTGTTGTCACTTATGAAACCAAAAGCCTTTCACACTGAAGGTCTCATCAGGGTTCTGATCATAAACCCCCCAAACAAACAAAATTGATAAATCTTTATCATTACCTTTAACAAAACAGATTACAGTGAAAAAAAAATGTTCCTGTTTAAAAAAAATTAAGCAGTTTCATATAATCTCCTAAGCACAAAATTATAGTTTAACAAAGGAAAATCCCAATCCAAAGCTCCAGCCTTTTAACCCAAAATGAAAACAAAAAGCATGGAACATATAATTCAGCTTTATTATTAGATTTTCTAAATCCTCACTTTAAATCCATTGCAAAGATATTACTACCAACGAAAAGCATGGAACATATAATTCAGCTTTAGTGGACTTTATGCAACTCAATATATAAAATTTAAGCAGTTTCAGAGTCTCCTAAGCATCTGCAAACTATTAACATTATCTCCCCAAGTTTCTTTCCCAATTTCATTGATAGCAATTTTATTGATAGTCTGCTAAGCATCTTCAAACCATTAACATTATACCAACTTAAGAGATAGCAATTACACATTCCACCATTATCATAGCTATGCATAGTCAAAGGATGCCACAATTATATAGCCAAATCTAGTCCCAACGTGCATGAATAAAATGTAACAACAGTGAAGAAACCCGCAAATTTCCAGTTAAAAACAAAATTAATACAACCTCTGCAAAAGATAATCAGATGATAAAAACTGAAATTCATAAGGCATTTATGTAAGAAGAGAAACTTCTGCAAAAAAAGAGCAGCGGAAAATTAAGAGTAGAATCCGTTAAAAAACCATATTTAAAGATAATGGTGTTAACATACATCAGAATTTCATGCTGCAGCGCTTTTGCACTCTTTATTGTTAACACCTAAAGCGGTGGCAATGTATTACTAAATACCATGCTCCCACATTTAAAGCTGTGAATTTTCATATGAGGCCAATGAATAATTTAGACAATTCTAAGCAATCAGACAGTTTACTTAAGTTAAAACAAATGATAGAAATGATCACAAATGTTAATTAGATTCTTCAAGCAAAAACAATTAGCTTCTCAAGTCATAAATAAATTCTTCCACTCACTATGATTATAATATTTTTTTTTCTTGAGAAAATTCACAACTTATAAATTAGGTTTTTAATCCCGAGGTTTTTTACTGTATAAATATGCATCACAAAACAATACTAAACACAATAGACTATGTTCTTATGCAATATAATTTCCCTTCAAGTTGATAATTCATATGTAATTTAGGAGAAAGATACAATTGTTACATAGTGGAAATCATAATAAGAGCAAAAAATTAGAAAAAGACTCATATGCCTCTAGGTATTTTTCCCTTTGAGACACAAATAATTGACTTTAGCAGGAAAACGATGTGATGGACTTCCAAAAAATAAAACCTCGTTGAGCTTACATTCTTGATTTTTTTTCATGATGACTTGCACGTTCAAAAGTAAGGTGTCTGGAAAACCTTAAAGAAGTTTTAAAGACAAAAAAATAAAAAACAAAACAAAAAGTTATGCCCTCCCATATCATATAATGAAGCAAACAAAAGAATGAATTCAAAACAGTAGGATTTAAAGAATTTAATTGAGAATGATTACACCTATAACCTTGATACACAAACAATCTAAGAACTAAGTTAACACCTGCAATCTCAAGAGGTCCTAATTTACTTTTAAATTCTACCTAGCATGCATACCACATTACACTTCATGTACGGCATAAAATAATAGAAAATATCAAAAATTGTCGAAAACAAACACTAATTTTTTTAGAGCTTTAACTGATACAAGTTAGAAACACCTCAATTCGCTTGCCTTCATTATTCACTTTATATCTTAAGGATAATTACTAAATAGTTTTAAATATTAAACATTCCGCAATCAAAAGGATTAAACACTTCAATCAGTACTAATAGTCATTTCAACCAAATTCATGATTGCAAGATCCTTAATATAGTATGTCTTGACAACAGATTCAATGATCATATCATCCTCGACCTGAAATGACACTAATTTCACAAAATCAAACTGCTTGATGTTTATAAATGACATCAACCACATATATATCATCTTTTCTCAGTGCAGTATCTATCATATCATGTTTTCCACAATCATTTTGGTAAACAATCGTCGTACCCAGTGCACAAGGCTCCCGCTTTACGCAGGGTCTGGGAGAGGTGAATGTCGGCTAGCCTTACCCCCATTTATGGAGAGGCTGCTCCCAAGTCTCGAACCCGAGACCTACCGCTCATGGGCGAAGGCACTTGCCATCGCACCAAGTGTAAATTAAGGCTTACATAGTGGAGATTCATCTTCCTGCGATACCATCCGAGTATTATTGTGCTCCCACCTTCATATCTAGTGAAGCCAATAAGTAGGGGCTATAACGACAAAGATGAATTTTCTAAGAAAAATGAAAGCAATTTGTCATAAACATGACTCAACGCTTTATAAGGCAAAGAAATGAGATTAATTTATGGAAAAGAGACCAAGCTTTTAGCTTGAGGACAGTGGTGACATTATCTACCTCAATAGGTCTTTCCAGCTTTGTCCCAATCATGCATATAAAATCATCCAAATATATAAGACTTTCAATTTACATGCATCCCAAATTTGGGTTCCAACATCACAATAATTTTGGAATTCAGGTTCCAACATCCCAAAAATAATTAAACAAAAAGAGAGAGAGAGAGAGAGAGAGAGAGAGAGAGAGAGAGAGAGAGGGAGGAATAATTCATACCAAGGAAGAGAAAAAGCTGGAACGGATCGAGGTGTTTGGGGATTAAAGCGAATTGGTATCTGGGTCTGTTATTTTTTATTTAAGTTTTAGCAATTTGAGTGCACCATCCATTTGTGTTTATAGTAATTACCTGCACAAACCTCAATCACCTTACAATCTATCACTATTCATATATAGTTCATACAAAATAGCACATTGTGACCTCTCTTTGGCAAGCAACAGTTTTCCAAAGTGAAATCAACTATTACTATTGTTAATTATCAATCCGTTTGGCCAATTCATTGAATACACTAAACCAAAAATTTCACAATTCGTTGAATTTACATACAATTGGGAGAAGTACAAAAACAAAGACATCGGCCGAAAATTATCACCATAAGAATTCCACTGAAAACTCTAGAGACCAAAATCCTTGTTAACAGAATTTAATCACATTAAGAGACATACACTTTCGGTTCCAAAACAAATTTTCCTAAGCAAATTAAACACAGAAGAAAGGGGATAAAAGAATTATCCAGAAAATACAGGAAATGGTTCTATTTTTATAGGAACCAAATCACAGATAAATTAAATTAAATTAAAACATGGCAATTGAAAACCCCAACAAAGAAAAAAGAAAAAAGGAAACGAAATGATCATTGTTCTAAACAGGAAATCAAAATTGAAGAGAAATCCAACACAAGAAAACCAACAACTTCAAGAATTTTCACACACAAATTGTAGAAATAAATTAAACGAAAAAAAAAAATTTAAGAGAGAGGGAGAAATAATGCATACCAAGGAAGAGCAAAAGCTGGAACCGACCATGCCATGGTATACACTGTATGGTATCTCAATTTTCAATACCAATTGCCTTTCTCAAATCCAAATGTCTCTCTCTAGTCCTCCCTCCCATCCCAAAGTCCTCTCACCAGCACAACACATGGTAACACGAAATCAATTTAGTCATGATTACTCAAATCCCAAGTTTGGTGAGTGACTATAAATTCTCGAGGCATCTAGTGACCAAGAGAACGACGCTCGCTCTTACCTTCAGAAATAGCCATGTTAGGTTATTGTCAAAATTATATCCACTTTTATCATATTTATAAAACTCTATATAAAAGATTATGAAACATTGTGTTATTTACATGCACCAACATGCAGGAAAATCATATGGCTTCATATTCCAAGAGAAAAATAAGTTAAGGAAAAACCTCAATGCCTAATCTTATTAATTATTAGGATGGTGGCTGCTCAGTACAGCATCTAATCGTCTCAAGGACCTCTTTGAAACCGTCGTGGAAACATGTACTTGGGAATCTGGACGACAGCCTAGAACAGTACTGTATCCCAAAGCCTGATATTCATAAAACATGTGTCAGCTTTGAAAAATCAAACTATTTCCTGAATCACCAGCTACCACAGTTTCCTGGAAACAAAGATCATTCAATCGTCACTATTATTAAATCTATTAGCAAGAACAAAGATTCTTAAACTTCCTATTTCCATATATGAATTTAAGAAGGAGAGAAAAACAGAGTTATGCATTAATGTACTAAATGGAAACTAAACAAAGTGTCATATTCAACTTTCACAATCATAAAAATTAAAAATTTGGTTCCACAATAGCCCCAAAGAGAAAAGATGAAATTGCTCACCTTGAGTTACAAAAGCCCCAAAAAAAACGAAAATCTAGGGTCCCCTAAAACCGAAAACAAAACTGAATTAAACATCCATATGCAGCCCAATTAAACACCCAAATGCAGGATCTGAGGGTACAAACAAAACCCCCAAAATCGCAAAAAAAGAAATTTGAATAGAAAACCCATCAGCAAATCCAAAATCACAGAAAAGAAATTGAAACACCTATATTGAGAAAGCCGTAAAACTCACAGGAAACACTAGCTTTTCTGGGTACAAAATTTCTCTGAATCCTACAGTAAGCTATTATCAGCCAACATATCTTATATGTTAATCCATTACTTTGCTTTTCGGAAACAATCCCTTTTTCACAATCACCAACATCATTTTGGCCTTCAATAGGAATTGAGTGTGACCCTGGTCGAATCTCCTAAATCAAAATTTTAAAGTACAAAGATTCATCATTTATAGCATAATCAAACTATGACTTTATCCCGAGAAACCGAGGACACCTCCTTGTGTCTGGTTTCATGTGAACACCTCAACTTGTATCGCATCCAATTAAACTACTGCAACAACATGCTGACACAATGAACATGGAAATCCATATACTATTTGACACTACCAAATCGAGCAGTCTCTAAAGATCAAAAACGGACCCTCGAAAGCAGAAACCCTATCTCATATGCATTAAAACAATTAGCAAAAAGATTAAAAATGGGTTCTGAGTTCTCAATTCTCAACATTGCTAAAATAATCATATCGTTTCAATCTGAACGACTAAATCCAACCCACAATTCAAATTCCAAACTTTATATCAAATTAAGAAGAAAAAATCAATTTTTTGTGCTCACCAGTCCAGTTTTTGGGTGCCTGCTCGTGGAAGGAACCTCAAAAGTGGAACCAAATGCATCCCTTTGTACTTCCTCTTGTCATCGATCTAGCTGAGAGATATAGAGAGAGAAGAAACTGTAAATTTGGTGAAAATATGCAATCAGATAGTAAAAAAGAAAGATGCTTTAGCCTTTTAAGTAGCTGAAAGCTTACAATAATTGGGTGTCGACACCCACATTTATCAATTTATACATAAATTTGAATTTGAATCTTTCGAAGTTCATATCATGCGAAGCAAATGAAACCAAAACAAACAATCCAACTGAAAATTTGAAACTCAGACCAACCAAGACAAACAAATCAGTCAGGTAAAACTAACATCTCATTTCAATTTTTCAAATGTAAATTTCACCTTCATGTGTTTTAAAATCACAGAAGTTGTTAACTATGTCATCTGATAATCAATAAATTTTTATGAAAATATCACTTAAACTACAATACCTCTCTTCTCACAAAAGAGTGTTTGTTCTAAACTGCTTATACTCTTATAATCTGACAAAAATCTTAGTATTGCATCTCATTCATGGACACTACTGATATTCTATTGAGCTATATCAACGTGCGCAAACAAATCATAAAAAAGAAAACAAAATCAATCAGGGGGAAAAAAAAAAAAAAACGAAACCAGCAAGCCTAAGGGGTTGTTCATTTATTTGATATCCATTATAATAGACCCAAAAACTGGAAAATATAGTTTAAATTTATAATCTAGTTTCTTTTCAATTCCTACCATTTCTCAGCAACCAAACAGTCCATAAACATTAAACTGAATTTCAAAATAATAAACCTTGCACAAACATTATATTCCAAATCATTTCAAGAAGAAATTACAAGAAAACAAAAGTCACAAAAATGACTAAAAAATAACCACACCCAGAAAAATTAAATGAATTATGAATAGCATATAGAAAGCAGCAAGGCTGCAAACATAATGGAAACCCTAAATTCAAGAAACGATGGCACAAATTAGTACGAATTAAAGCAAAAGGGAGATCAATCGAGATCTTACAAAGCCGAGAATCATGATCTGCTGAAGCCGAAGCCTGAATTGCACTCTCAGACAGGGGTGTTGATGTGAGGCGGGGCGGCGGGTCCTCTCTGAAAATCGAGATCGACCCGGTTCTGGGTTGCCCTAAACCGAGTAAAGGGGTTGAGATTGAGCCGGATGCCGGGACGGGACATGGAGGGGTGAGGAGCGAGGGTGATGACGCAGTGAGGGCTGAGAGTAAGAGGATGATTGGGAATGTGCCCGTTTTGGGCGCTTCAGATGGTGAGCCTTGAGAGAAGAGACGAAAATGAAAATGAAGGGGGGCTTTTGGCGGAATGGGGAGAAGAAGAGAAGCGAGCTTCCCTCCATAGTTGAGGTTTAGGCCCGTGGGAGAGGAGTTGTAGAGAGAAACTCTGTTAAGGATGCAATCGGAGCTTCGGGTTTCAGGAAGCAAACGGAAGACGAAGTGCATTTCCATCCCCCCACCCTTTCTACTATGGTCGACACGTGCGCGGCTGAAGGGTGGCAATTTCGTAAATAAATCGAAATTTTAAATACGAAACGGAAGAGGCGGTGGCATTTTTGTAAATAACGCAAAATCCACCCCATGTCACTGTTCATTTGAATTGTGCCAATTGAAAACCTTAGTGTGCCAATTGAAAACCTTACTTTAGACTAAAGTAATTTATTTATTGGTTATTTTGTGAGATTTTGATTCTTTGAATTGTATTTTCAATGTAAAATATTCGACTTACTCTTGAGAAAAAAGTGATCAAACACATGAATTTTGAAGTGATTCTAGTTAAGAGGATGTTCGTGTGTCTCTCAACTTGTTTGCGCCAAAATTTCAAAATTTTTTACCAAGTGGTTTACTTATGCCAATGAAATAAGGGAACTTTAACGAAAAGCTCCCGGTACTGTTCACTTTAACGAAAAACCACATTTTTACACTAAAAAGTCAATTCTGGTACTATTCACTTTACCTTTTATTTTGTCCTTATCATTAAAACTCAAAGTTTTCAAAATCTTTTCATTAGTTTTCCTATGAAATAAATGACCAATGCACAGTGTTGTCAAATTGACGTTTTGGGTTTAGTAGGGCTTTTCGGTGTCCATTATGATGTCTTTTGGGTTCGTGGTCTTTTATAGTTATGTATGGGACATCTCAAGCTTTAATTTAAGTTGTTTTGGGTATGTTGAAATGTAGGATTCTTTGTGGCTTGGCAGATTTTCCAAAGTTAAAATAGGAATATATTTCCTAGTTATCTTATTATATTTTGTTTCCTAGTTTTTAGAAGACATTTTCTAGGAAAGATTATTTTGTAGTTGTATAAATAAGGCTATTTAGCCATTAGGGTTATATAAAAACACGCATCAATTAGGATAACTTGAGTAGGCTTTGACAATTTATATTTTTCTTTCAAGGTGTTTACTATACCTTTCTATTTCAATAAAATTCATTTTGTGTTATGATTGTTGAATATGTTGTCTTTATTTAATTGCTTATAATATTATTCATGCATACTTTAAATTATTAATCACTGTGTTTAAACAGTCTCTATCTCTTAATGTTTAGCTGTCATTAAAATGTTTAGATAAGTAATCGTATGCAATTCGGTCGGAATATCACCGAAGGATTGAGTATTGCTTCTTGTGGTTAATAATTCTAATTTCATCTAAGGTGAATATCATGCTCTTAGGGGTTGCATGGTTTTTCAAGTGTGTTCACATAACTTAATGAGTCTTGCATGTTTACATTTGATCTGAATATCACATATGGATTGCATGTTAGATATACGTTATTGCTTGAATATCACAAGGGGAATATGCATAAGGAAAACCTAACCTTCAAAGTTGAATGTGTAATTCATAAGTAATTGATAAAATTATATAAGATTGTTAAGGTGATGACAGAACTCTAGTGCAATTTTATTATTGTTGTTATCTCAAAACGTTTCCTTCAAATTGATTTTCTTTAAATTGTTTTCTAGTTGATTTCTTAAATTGTTTTTATTTAAAATTCATTTTTAATATTTAAAGTTCCAAAATCAATCTTTTCCAAACTTTGTTTTAAATAGTTAATTAAGAATTAGTTTAAATACAAATTATTCATTCAATTCCTATGAGAACGACCTTGCATGAGCATTCTTACTACAACTACCTCGTTTTCTTGCAAATATTTTTAAGTGTTTTTATCCCTAGTTTTGTAACGTGATAAAAATTCCATCAAGAAATTGGAGCAGTTGCCAATGATTGTTTCAATTAATTTGTATTTATCGTATTCTTATTTAATTATTTTGTACATAACTTTTCATTTACTTGATTTTATTTTATTTTTTAGTTTACAACTTGTTGATTTTGAGAGCAGTGAAAGATGGGATTTGTATGTTCTCCTGGATTCAATATACAACCAGGAGGATCGCATTTATAGGTGAAACCTGTAGAATGGGGTTTTTATGAATTCAAACTTACAATTTGTGCACTTTGTTCTTTGAAGATACATCATATTTTGCAATGTCCCGAAAGGGAATATTTTCCTGAGTTTGTTTAAAAGCATTTCAATATGAGAATCAACTCAAAAAGGCATTGGAACAATCCTTATTCAAGGTTCTACACTCCAAGTTTGAAAAAGCATTTTAAGTAATCTTTTGAGCAGCCTAATGTGCCACAACAGCTTTCGGTGGAGGACAACTTTGTAATTTTTTGGAATCAACCGAGTTGTAAATAACCAATCAAGGATTTCAGCTTCAAGCATTAAACTGTGGGAAAAACTATGATGATAAAAAAAGAAGATTGGTGCAGGAACTGAGAAACAATTAGCAAGCTATTCATGCCCAAGGGAGGAAACAATACATGATGATCCTGAAATCCTCCCATAACTTTTGGCCACCCAAGTTTATACGCCACCATAACCTATTCCAAAAAGGTTGCAGGAATGCAAGGAAACTAACGCGTTGGAAGGGGTTGTTCTTGTAAAGTCAGAGTTTGATACATCACATGATCAACTCTTTAACAATCTGACAGATTTGGATACAGGGCAGATAACTACCAACAAAAAAGTTATGGTTGCTAAATTAGACATGGCAACAACACAACCTATCAAACTTGAGGAAATCCATGTGGAGTCCTACAAGAAGGTTAAAATCTACAAGGGAAAGAAGAGGCAGACTATTGATAGCCAAATTCTTCGTCAAGAAATTCGGCCAGTGAAGAAATTGTGGATATTAAATACAAGATTAAAGTCAGTTCAAGAGAGACACAAGTCATGTTGGAAGGGACCTCATTTTATTTCAAAGACTCATTCTCGTAGAAGGGTAGACATGAAAAATTCAGCCACTAAATTTAAATGCACAGTTCAAGTCACGATGTACCTACTGCCGCCCTATAATGCTTTTAAGGAGTGGTTAATTCTAAATGTACAAGTAACATGATCACCAGACTCATTTCAATCCGTCTAGCTATAGACGTTAACTAAAGCACTAATCGGGAGGCAACCCAATTTTTCTAACCCTTTTATTTTCATTTAATTATTTTTCTTGCTTTCATTTTTTTATCACATAAAAAAAACAAACAAAAAATCACAAAATTGAAAATCACATAAATAGATTTTAGTTTATCTATTTTTATTTCTACATTTTATTTAATTTAATTTTAATCTTTGTGATTTTTGCAGGACTGCATTGAAATTCACAGTCGGCCCTAGAATCACTACATGTGATTTCTACATTCGACTGAATCATTCATTCAACAACATTCATTCATTCACCTCAGCAAATTGATCAGCATACATCACAACATGACATTCAACATCAAAGTGCAGAAACAAAGGATTGCCAAGACCTCTATGCTAATTGGACCCTTTTCAAAATTCTCCCTCTCTCTCTCTCTCTCTCTCGCATTTAATTACAAAAAAAATTATTTTACATACAAGTTTGGAGGTGGGATACAAGTAGCACAGAGGTGAGACCGTTGTTCATGTCCAAGTCAAGATGCATATTCATGCGAAAATTTGGTTCAATATTCTCTCATGCATGTAATAGCACAGAGAATAAGACATGATGAATCTGTAGAGTTCTGCATGCATGACGAACAAGCCAATTCAACACAATTTTTAATCACAGATTCTTATCAACATAGTTGCAGGGATATAGAAGCATACGATTTCACTGAGGATCCGTGAGTCTCGGTTTTTCCAAGGCTGTATATTTCTGCTTGAGGAGAGATTTTTCAGTGTGATCGGTACACGCAGTGGCGGAGGCAGTTAAGGACTACAGTAGTCCTAGGTCTACTCTCACTTAAAAAATAAGATTAGTCTACTACACCTATTTCTATTGCTTTGCAGCCCTTCTCAACAACTAAAACAAATTCAATCATTATCTATTTTTCATCTCATAGATACCATCCCAAAAATAAGTATATATTTTAAATGGTCATTTATCACAAAGAGTAGTGCTATCTGCATACATTTGTTTACCTTTAACACACTCTTGTTAATTTATGTCATTCGATATTCAATTCATTCAATCAGACGATCGCAAATTGAGAGGGTGTATGGAAAGCAAAAAGAGATGTGTGGATATCACAACCCTCTCACAAAACAATAACATTAAATTAAAACCCATCATTCACCTTTAATTAAAATAAAATCGTCTTTCACTTATGCACGGGGAGAGTTTTTACCTTTTCTTATTGAATTTCATATATTTAGCCATTCTAAATCCCAAATTTATTGAATAAAGAACAAAAAGGTTTGTAATACTCTATTATTCACTATAAAACATTTGTTTCTATTCTATCCCACCTCTTACTTGAGTTTTAGGATTTGCAAAGATTTTCGTACTTCTCTATTCAGTTTAATAATTATTTAAATACTATAGATGACATTATGCAACTGTTTCATTGCAATTCGTCAAGAATAATTTTGATTACTATGGATAGATAAAATTATCTATGCATATGTTAATTTTGACTACTTAATTATTTGGATAAATATTATGATGTTTTGCATTAGTAATTTTATAGCCATTATTTGTTTTTTCTTCTTCTATACTTGTTTGAGGCCCCTCCTCACAAGAAATATTGGCTCCGTTATTAGGTACACGGGATGATATACCACGTGTTACTATACAAATGGTGGGATATGTATGCTAAAAAGTTAATAACTTAAAAAATACAATTTCTCACAACTTCTATTAAAACACGTGGTATACCATTTGTGTTCCCATCACACCTAAAAATTTCTCTGCTCGAGGGTGCTGAATTTATGAGACATAGAGGCAGCGCGCAGATGAAGGAGGACATCACACAGGAGTGGCGGCTAGTTCGGATTAGCATGGAAGATTGGGTTTGGATGTGGACAAATGATTATGGGATTTGAAGGTTTTGGAAAGCTTCAAGAAATGAAGGAGAGATAGCCGTGTGGCTCTGGACTTGAGGTTGATAGAAATGAGAGGTAGAAAACGAAAAATGAGGGTTCTGTTTTAGTTTATACTAGCAAGGATGCCCGCGCGTTGCTGCGGGAATGAAAATTGTATAACACATAGATATTCTAAAAAAAATTACATATATATATATATATATGTATATACAGTAGACAATACTATTTACATACATGTGCAAATTTATTTACAACTCTATCAACAATAAGGAACAAAAAAGGTGTCCATGGGAGAAATGAAGTTTATGGTTGTAAATTGTGAAATTCCATACATGTCAAACTTCATTTAGGAAATTGAAACCATAAAGAATAAAGTGATAAACACGCAAAACAGTTCACAATATGAAACCGTTGCTTCACTAAATAAGCAGTACCAACAAAATCATGCTTGTTTTGCTGCAAAAGAACAAAGTAGAAGAAGGGAAACAAAATATTTATTTGTTATTTTATTTTCTGTGGAAAAAACTTGGAATGAGAATCAATAGTGAAAAGATCATATTTATTTCAAAATTTTAGACACAGAAAAATAGTACAGAAACCAACAATGAAGTTAAGAACGAATAAAACACATAGTACACATACCTGCTTAAAAGTTCCTCCTTTTGCTCAGCCTGTCTTTGGAGTAGATTAGACTTGGGCATAAGTTCAGAAATCAGTTAAGAACGAAACCCAAAAGTAAATTGCTGTTCTTATTATAGAAAAGACAAACAAAATTGTTTCTTAAAATAACAATATGTATATAAGCAAGATCGTGCTTAATTTTCTCTAATTTAAAGAAATGGTATGCGCAATTTAGAACCTGATATAACAAAAGCATAACCAAAAAAAATAATAATAATAATTCCAAAACCTGAAGTGCCTTTTTAAAGCTTGGTCCTACTTTGAAAATCTACAAAGGGAAATATTGTAAACCCAAATTAAAGCTTCTTCTCTTACTCAAGAAAAATGGAAACTTTATATGGAAAAAAAATTGAAATTCTGCGTAATTAAAAGTGGATCAAAACTCTAAATAGATTATCTTAAAGCGTAGGAGATCGTTGTTAGAATTTGAAAACAATTGAAACTTCATTTTACACAGACTTAATCAATTGATTTATATTTAAATGAAAAGAAAGTAGTGGTCAGTTTTACCTATCGTTTGTTTAGTGTCGCTCAATTTCCAATTTGTATTAAAAGCTTGAATTTTTACTTTCCTTCCATTCCCCTGTGCATAATAATCCAGTAGCTCTTGTTTACCTACAACAAATTGAAAACCATTTGGGGAAAATAACTAAGCCTTTAGTTTTTAGATTCTTGGTAGGCAAAGCAAAAAATTTACACACAACAAAACTATTAAAACTTTAAACCCAATTCCCAAATTAGGTTCTCGACTGGCTAATGATCATATTGGATGTAAATTATCATCCCGAACATTGTAATGCTTGATTTTTTTTTTTTTGGGACATTCTAGTTAATCATTAATTAACTGAAGAATGCAATTCGTAGAACAATAATTAGCAGATAAAACTAAAGGGAACAAAATACCAAAATTTGCAGTTAACAACATAGAGCTAAGTGAAAAACAAAAAATAAGGATAGGAAGGCAACCAAAATGTGACTCTTACCTGGGTTTGGTTATGCTTCTATCAAGTGCTGCCCTTAACTAACGAAATAAGCAATCTCTTCACATAGCACATTTAGTCATCAATCCCTTACACACACACACACACACACATACAAAGATATTATGTATTACATTCTAATTTTTCTTTACTTACATTTTCATTCTATTTCTTTATGTGTGTAAACTTACACTAATTCTCCATAATTTTCAGTCAATTCCATTGTAATTAAAATAAATATTGAGTATACCCACACTTATAAACACACAAAATTCAGTTTTCCATACAAAAGCACATACGTCAAATCAATGTTCCTACTGTATTCATTTAATCAAATGATGCATCAAATATAATAATTAAATTATAACTCTAATTTATAACCTTTTGATTTCGCTTCATCTGCAGCTAAAACCAAAATTTAGAGAGTCCCCAATATAATTCTGTCAAATAGAAGATAGCAACATCATGTAAAAGTCATATTGGGTGTCCACACCCACACTTATACTTTACAAATAAATTTGAACTTTGAATCACTTGGGCTTCAAAAATATTTGCACATAAATTCAAAAGAAGATGAATAAATTAAAGAAAAATCATATCTACTGGCAATTCAGACTGACCTAGAGTTGCTATCGAGTTCTGCCGAAGACAACTATGCACTGTTGACAAAGTCTAGAACAACCTGGAAATTTAAAGAGATCAAATTTAAAGCCAAATAAGCAATCATTTACTGAAAATCTTCACAAAAAAGTGCTAGTTTCACAAATAAATGAAACCCATATTAAATTTCTTGATAAAAACTAAGAACTTCAAAGCTTAAGAAAACCCATGAATCCAACCATAAAAAATATGCAAACTTTCGCACTGGCAAACCATTCATAAACCAAAAATGATATCTTAAACAAAACACATAAATCCAACTCAAAAAAACTCAAATTTAAAACAACCAACACAAACAAAATTTCAAACATGGTTCATTGTCTCTCTTTGCATTTTAAATCACATAGTGTTGCCCAATATATTATCGTATTAACATTTCATATACTCATGCATTAGATAAAAAATTATATCTATGTTAAAATTACATGGATTGCTTTATCATGATTTAAGAAAGCAACCACAAATCATAGTATCTACATGTTCCTCAAATTATCTAAAATACTAAAACAAAACCCTCACTTCTCACTACATGTTTAAGATATATGAACCCATACAAACCTCTTCACCATTCACCAATACCATTGGTGCTAAAAAACCAAAAGAAAAAAAAATCATTAAATAAGATGGCCACTAACCAAAGCATCTTTTGAACAAATTAAGAAATTCAAATAAAATTAAACACCCAGACAAAAAGAAACACAAAAAAGATATGCTTGAATTGTCAAGGAAATCAAGATACTAATAAATATAAAGATAAGTTTGAATTGTTAATCAAATAAAAAAATAAGACAAAGCATTTCCAAACGTTGATTATGTCTGATGAGTTAATGCTATGTGATTGCCCTGGATTAGTCTTTCCATCCTTTTCAAGCCATGAGATGATTGGTTTTGGTGTATTACCAAGAATATGGAGGCTGCGCTGATAGTGGCCAATTGAGTTCCAAGACATGTTATTGAAGCGGTTTGCAGGATTGATCTGCCCAAACCCAAATCCTATGAAATTGACAACGAAGAAACAGAGAATAAAAGGAAAAATGTATTATAGCATACTATGTCCTGCTTCATACATATTTAATCCTTCAATTAAACACACATTTCCTTTTCATCAAAATTAGCATGAATATAATAGTGCTTCCAGCAGAAAATAAAAGGAAAAAATGACAACCGAAAAAAATTGACAACCCAAGACATATAAGTTTAGAACAGGGCAAACAATGACAACCCAACAAAACCAAAGATTTAATTAAATGAAGCATAATTCAGTTTAAATCTCATAATTTATTTATTTCATTTTCTGACCAATCAAACAAACCATCATCGGAGAAAGAACCAACACCAACAAAAAAAAAAGTTAAATACCTTGATCGCAAACAGCTTGCAAGGTTGCAGACAGAAAGGCCAAAATTCAAACAACTTCTTTTGCTGAAACCAAATGTGAAAGCAGATCAGAAAGGCAGACCCAAAGCACGAAAAAAGAATCAAACAACATACAATCAGTAAAGCAGAAAACTCACCAAAAAACCTTAGATCGCATCGATAACTTTTCCTGAAACCAAAAATCAAACCGCATCGCAAAGCCACACCCAAACAACGAAAAAAAATTGAAATTAGATACGGCAAGAACTGCAAAAAACTCACCAGAGATCGTTAGTTTTCCGAGAAGAAAACGGCCGTGAATAATCGGCGAGACAAAGACGCGAAGGACGGATAGCGAAAACAACGAAGGCGTGGGAGAGAGAAAAAACCTAGGGCTCCAAAATAAGGAAAAGCTGAAAATGGTGAGAGAGAGTGAAGGGAACCCAAAGAAAAGGCAGAGTAGAAATGGAGCGGAAGAACCACCGATGACAGACGCGTGGTTTCCAAGGGCAGAATCGTCAATGTACTGTAGAAAAAGCTAAAAGGCACTGCTGATGGGAAAAAAATTGGAGGGCATTTTTTACATTTTACTGTTCACAAACAGTGAAAAACAGTGCACCCGAGTTTGGGTTTTAGTATATGTATAATATACGGCTGTGCATTCACGTGTGGCTCGTGTGAGGCTCAGCGCATCCTCTTAATTCGGGCCCATTTGAAGAAATTGAAGAGTTGAAAATCCCCTATTAATCTGTCTTAGAGGATAAATGGGACGACGTGAAGGAATATTGTAAGAATAATCCGAAAAAATTGCACTGCCAAATGACGCTGCAAGGGGACAATGTACTTCACCTTGCCGCTTCTTCTTGCAGCAAATCACAATGCCAAGAAGTCCTCGAATTTTTAATTGATAAATGCCTCAATTGTAAGAGTAATTTCAATACCATTAATTAGTTCAAGATTAATCTTTTAACCAAGAACACAATGATCTAACAACTAAATCACAGTCCACGACCAAGTACTTATGTCAGTATCATCAGACTAAAAACTGAGCAAAGAATGACGTACTTGCAGACATGCCAATGGAAGAAGAAGCCATACCGATCAACACACAAAGCTTTCTTCTTTCTGCAAAACTCAATACTCTCCCAAGAAAAGGTAATTGGCACAAACTAAGAGCGTACTTTGTGAGAGCAAGGTCAAACAAGAGCTTTGTAGCTTAATTGATTAATAGTGTTTTTCTCTGCACACGAAGCTTTAATTATTGCTTTTCTGCCTCATGGTAGCTAAAGTCGTCAACTCGATGAAGGGGCTCGTAGTTTAACTTGTTAGTTCATTCGATTTTGCTAAATTTTGTTTGATTTTCTTCGTACGAGCTCCTAATTAACCGTTCAAATAGAAGGGGATGAGAGGGAAGAGAACTAGGAGGGAGAATTCAACTCCACTTGAAAAACCATCTAGTTATGATTACAGACAATTTTTTACTTTACACTGAATGAAGGGGATAATATTTGAATTTGAAATGTATTAAGATAAAAGAAATACCTTATCTACCGTGGATGTAAAAAACTAGCCCGATTCTCATTTAGCACGCTTGTATTGAGGGGACACAAAATATGACTCGAATCACTAATTTTGGGTTTTGAATTGCGCCTATAATTTGGAAACTCAAATGTTGGCCCAAACAATTGGGCCTAATAGTTTGATACCCAATTAACAATCAAGTCTTGTCACCAAACACCCTTGTTTCGAACGCAAACGAAAGATCCGCGATTCCGGAATATGCCAAAACGCGTCTACATTTCTGGCGCCCACCACCAACCACCAGAAGGTTAGGTGTCTACCTACTCAAAACCCGCCACCAACAACCGCTGCGGTTTAGACCACCATAACAGACCATACACCACCACACCGCCAAATCTCGTCCGTCCAATTCCCGAAACAGCCTCGCATCCAATGGGCCACCTAACATTCCTATCCACGGCGGAGAGTCCAATGACCTGAAACGACGTTCCTACCCTTCTCAACTCCTCGTTTAAACGCCCACACTCTCACTGTCGGGAGTCAAACGCGATTCGATAGATTTCACTCTCCGTTCGCAGTCGCATCAAAACACTCGAAGATCTCAGAGACACTGTCTGTGCGTGTTAGGTTTTAATGGCTCCACCATCACTGATTGCTAACGGCGGTGCTGCCGGTGCTGAGTTAGTGCCAGCACCTGTCACCGGCCGATTCGTCTCCGTCTACAGCGAGGTCCAGGCCAGTCGTATCGACCATGCACTTCCTCTCCCTTCCGTGCTCAGAAAGCCCTTCAAGGTCGTCGATGGTCCCGCTAGCTCCGCCGCCGGCAATCCAGGTCAGTTTATTATTCTTTCTTCTTCTTCCGCTTTGTGCTCGGATCCATGCGTTTTTCTAGCGTTTGATCTCGGAGAAATTTTGAAGTTCAATTTTAGTCGACTAGATTTAGCGATCAAACTGTAGAATATGTGCGTTTTGGGATTTTCTATTCCGTATTTGATCGTCTCTCGTTTCGGTTCCTCAGAGGAGATCGCGAAGTTGTTTCCTAATGTTTTCGGTCAGCCATCTGCACTGTTGGCGCCAAGCATTCCGATTCGGGTCTACCGGAGCAGAAGATGAAGATCGGTGTCGTTTTATCTGGAGGCCAAGCGCCCGGAGATCACAACGTGATCTCTGGAATTTTCGGTGAGGGTCTTAATTATCAATTTGTTGTATGTTTCGTTAACTTTGTATAGCTTTTTTCCGAATTTTGGTTGAATTCGATCCGTGTTTGGGTATTAGCTTACTTGCAAGATCGCCCCAAAGAACGGGAAATGTTTAGTTGCGACAAGAATACGGATGGAGATATCACGTGTTTTTATGCAAATGGTGAAATTTTTTAATTTTTAAATTATTAACCTTTTAATACGTATAACCTATCATTTATACAGAGATACGTAATATATTAACTCGTACGACGATCACATAAAAATCTCTCCAAATAAGCACGCTATATGGCTTTAGGGGCGGCCCTGCTGGGATCATGAAAAATAAATACATCGAACTTACCCCCGTGTATATTTATCCACACAGAAATCAGGTTAGTGTTTTGAGTGTGAATGATATATACTATGCTGCTTAATTGATATATACTATGCCACCATGCAGACCTAGTCCAGGCCGCGCGTCACCTTTCTTGTCTTTTTACTCATTGATTATCATTAAATTAGTTTAAACTTGAGATTCGGGACTTAAATTAATTAGCCAAATTAATATAACGATAACCAAAGAAGAGGAGATTAATCTAACCAACTTAGTTATGCTTGATTTATTTTCTATTTCTTAATTTTATTACAAGTGATATTATTACTTTAATTTACACAAAGAGGATAGGGTAGGATTTGAACTCGAGTTGAAGAAAAAATTCAATCTACTAAAACAATCCACCACCTTACTTAAGGATAACATATAAAAGACAAAAGATGATTACAAATCAATACAAGCAATAATGAGGCGGTATCATCTCTTGTACACGCTGACACAAACACACGTCCACACATTAATAGTGTCTATATTATATATATATAGTGTGTGTGTGTGTATGTATATAGATAGATTTTAGGCTTTTGTCATACTGGACTGCACCTAGAATTTCTATGCTCTGATTATGAGTATTTACTCTTGTATCTCACTCCTAACACTTCCTGTTTATTAGTGCACTTTCGTAGTTTTCGGTTTTTATTTATTCGTATATTTCTTATCCTTTTGCTTCCGCACTGTGCACATGGCTACGTCACCCTCACGTGACGGCCAACATGCCTCGATCTCGGTCGGAGTGTGTCATCTCTGTCTCAACTTGATTGACACATATTTTCTAATATTCATTATGTATTCTTGTGGAAAGTAATATGGTGCTAAGTAATATATTGGTGCAACCAAAAGATATCCATTTGCCAAATGCATCTGACATATCTTTCTTCAGGTTGCTGCAAAGAAGCTGACACTGAAAAATGTCACTGACCACATTGTGAATGTAATCTTGAAGCGTGCTGACCTGGGTTATAACTATGGTGTCATACTTATCCCTCAGGGTCTAATTGATTTCATTCCTGAGGTATTATTCTTGATCTTTAATATATTAACTTTAAACCCTTCTTTATTCATATTCCTTTGTTTACTTGGAAAGCAAGTGTTCTACTGTTTCACACATAGATGCACACTCAAATAACTGCATTTTTTTGACCAAGTCAAGGGTATCCCAAAGGCTTCCTAGGCCCAAGGACTAATCCCTCCGGCGCATGTGAAATGCTCCAACTGTGCATTGCAGCACAGTGCCTGGCCACTTTGACAGCTTCGGGGTTCGAACCTAGGCTGGGGAGCAAACCCAACTAGGCAAGAACCACTAGACCACTTGCAATGGTTTAAATAACTGCATTGACTAACATATAATGTTTTTAACCTTTCCGTTTGCAGGTGCAGCAACTTATTGCTGAATTGAATGAAATTCTGGCCCATGAGGTTGTAGATGAAGATGGGCTGTGGAAAAAGAAACTTACATGCCAATCTCTAGAGCTTTTTGATTTCCTACCTGAAGCAACCCAAGAGCAGTTGATGCTTGAAAGAGATCCTCGTGGAAATGTTCAGGTATATTTTTCATTTTCCAATTTGACATAAATCTGTCCGGGGATTTTCTGGGCACATCAATACAGCATGCATGCTAATCTTTATTTTTACCATTACGTTGCCAAAATAGAAACAGAGAAGATGCTTATTCAAATGGTTGAGACAGACTTGGAGAAGAGGAAGCAGGAAGGTTCATATAATGGTCAGTTCCAAGGACAGTCTCACTTTTTCGGGTACTTAATTTTTAACCTAATGACATAATCCTTTGGCTAAATGTGGTTTCAATGATTAAGAATAAGTCCATCCCATGTGTTGGGGCTTTGAGGGTAACTGATTCGCTCGCTGGCATGGATTCATCAGGATACAGGTTTAGTGATTGTGTATCGGAGATATTGCTTAATGTTTGCATCCCTAATTTTGTTCACCTGTTTTCATTTTTTTTTTTGTAGGTACGAAGGAAGATGTGTTTTGCCAACCAACTTTGATTCTACCGACTGCTATGTATTGGGTTATGCTGCTGGAGCTCTCCTTCACAGTGGAAAAGCTGGGTTGATATCATCAGTTTGTACCTCTATCCTATATCTCATTTTTTTTTTTATTCTTTTGGATCAAAGCTAACATTCATTACCAACAACAGACAATATAACACGAAGGGCCAAAACACACAGCACACAGTTACAAACTACTGGCCTACATACAACAAACAAACCAAACAGGACCAGCCCAAAAAAACAGAAAAGCCCAACCCAAAGGTGAGGCCAAACCAGGGAAAACCCGAGAACAACCTAGAATGCTCCTGCATCCATCGCCGCCGCCGGAGCTCAACAGAGCAAGCCTCCAACAGCCACCAAAGTTCAACTCGAACAGCCCCAAAAGTGAGGGAAAAGAAGAGGGCAACAACCTCCAAAGAACACAATAAAGATCGACACCACAAATCGAAGGAAGCTCGCAGGAGACAATCCTGGAGCAACAAATATTCCATTGTCATAGTTGTATTATTTCTTAATATTAAGTCATTTTATGCATGTTGTTTTTCGTGACGTGGATCCAGGTTGGGAATTTGGATGCCCCTGTGGAAGAATGGACGGTTGGCGGAACGGCATTGACTTCATTAGAGCAAGTCCACCTGAGTGGACTTTGCCCAGCACCCTGTCCAAATGGCAGCTCAGCACCCTGTCCATGTCCTCCAACCCGTGCAACAAACTGGCACCCAGCCCATGCTGGTCCCTGGGCCAGCACAAAACAGGCTGACCAAGAAGCTGGGTCATTTGCTGGGGTTGGCCACGTGGCCGATCCTGGGCTCTTGGATTTGAATATTTTTCAAATCCAACGGTCCAGATTAATTAACTACATTAAAATTAATTAAAAATATAAAAAAAATACAGAATTTTTTTTAAATACAGTAAAATTTTAAAAAAGTTATTTTTTTCTTTCTATAAATACGTAACCCTCATCTTCCACCTTACACCACATTTCAATATTTCTACACCTTCTACCAAAGCTTTCATATACTTTTTGTGTGAAAAAAAAATACCAAAAAGCTCATCCTTAATTTTTTTGTCCATATAAACCATACATCCCTACATCCATCTTCATCGTGTATTTGAAGAATAAAGTTTTTGGTTGAAGAATAAAGTGTATTTGATGAGTTTATGTAATTTCATTTTAGTGTGTTTTTTTTTATAGTTTATTTGATGAGTTTATGTAATTTTATTTTAGTGTGTTTTTTTTTAAGTTTATTTGATGAGTATGTAATTATATTTTAGTGTTTTTTTTTTAAGTTTATTTGAAATTTTATCTGAAATTGGTTAAAAATCTTATCCGAAATGAACTTAAAAAAAAAAAGCACACCAAATAAATGTGATGGGTGCCAGCGCATTTTTTTAGGCGTGGAGATGCCTTGGCCTATTACTATTCACTCCAGTCTATTACTATTCACTTGAGTGAATAAATGCATTGGGTGTTGACGCAAAGTCCTTAGGGGTGGACTTGCTCTTAATGGAAGTGGAAAGGAGACATGGTGTAGTAAATCTCTCGTTATTGTTTTTGTTATCGTGTAAAATTTAACGTGTGTTATATATATATGTATGTACCTGTTCAAGGACATGAGGTGTAAATTTAACAAAGAAAATGATAAACACACGTCTTTGTTACATTTTGTCGGTTGTTTTCATTTTGTTTATATTATACTATTGGATGATGTGGGAGACTTTTTAAATTTTGCAAATAAAAAAATATATATTTAAACGAGGCATGTGTTGCATGCTTGCAAAGGTACATGCTTGTAGGGATGAAGCATATTTAGAAGGGGTGCGAGACAATGGCGATTAACCTTTAAATATTCGATCGTTATATGCTTTATGATTTCCAACATTCTTTCGAATTAATGTATAAATGTACACTGTAGCTAGACGTGTTTCACACTTGGTGAAGACAATTTATAGTTGAAGGTAACGATAGGGATATCAAATTCTTAAACTAAATTTTATAAATTAAATGATGTGGATATTGATGATTGGATATTAAGTGTTGATCAACGTGTTTATTTTATATTTGTAATATATTATTTAATTTGTAAATTTGGTTTAAAAATTTAGTCTCCTTAACATTAACTACAATCAAATCATCAACAACCATATAATTTAGTTTACAAAATTGAGTTTCAAAATTTGGTCATCCTAGTATTATCCATAATTAAAACCTAATATTATAAGCAAAGGTAGATGCTTGTACGGACAAAGCAGGTACGGCTAAAAAACAGCAAGCAACCTTTAACTCTTCGATCCTCTATGCTTCATCATTCAATATTCTTTGTTACTTAATTCAATATTCTTTGTTACATTTTGTCGGTTGTTTTCATTTCGTTGATATTATACTACTGGATGATGTGAGAAAAAGTTTAAGTTTTGCAAACTAAATAACATAGAAATTAATGATATGATTATTACTTAAATGTTGATTAACGTGTTTATTTCGTATTAGTACCTATTCTTTATTGGTGACATATTGTTTAATTTACAAATTTGATTTCCCTAACATTATTTTCATCCTACTATTACATCCCTCAAATAAAAAAAAATATATTTAATCGAGGAATGTGTTGCATGCTTGCAAAGGTACATGCTTGTACGGATGAAGCATATTTAAAAGGGGTGCAAGAAAATGGCGATAAACGTTTAAATATTCGATCGTTGTATGCATTATGATTTCCAACATTCTTTCGAATATAAATGTATATTGTAGCTAGACGTGTTTCACACTTTGTGAAAACAATTTATAGTTATCGGATATCAAATTCTTAAACTAAAATTTGTAAATTAAATTATGCGAATATTAATGATTGATCAACGGGTTTATTTTTTATTTGTGATACATTATTTAATTTGTAAATTTGGTTTAAAAGTTTAGTCTCCTTAACATTATCTACAATCTAATCATCAACAACCACATAATTGAATTTGCAAAATTGAGTTTCAAAATTTAGTCACTTTATCCATAATTAAAACCTAATATTATAAGCAAGGTAGATGCTTGTACGGAGAAAGCACGTACAGCTAAAAAACAGCAAGTAACCTTTAACTCTTCGATCCTTTATGCTTCATCATTCAATATTCTTTGTTACTTAATTAAGTAAAGCATATAGCAGCAGCTGCAGCTGCAGCTGCCTATAAATCAAAGCAACAACCGCCGCATTACATGCCCCAAGCTATCTGGTACACTACAAATGGAGTACTGGAAAACGCTAACGGTTCGGTCGGATCTGATGAAAGAGGGAGAGGATAGCTCTCGGCCGGATCAGAAAGAGAGAGAGAGATTAAAGAAAATGGAAAAGTTGAAAGATTCCTATAAATATGCCATGGAACAGAAATGTGAAGAGCTGAAGGAAATGTTCGAGAATCATCCGGAAATAATGCGCGAAGAAATGACAGTGGACGGGGACACTGTATTACACCTTGCGGCTTCTTACAGCAGCAAATCACAAGGTAAAAAAGTCCTCGAAATGCTTATCAACATACTCTGTTCAATCAATGACAAGATGAAAGCTGTGAGGGTTCCAAATAAGTACGGAAACAATACTCTCCACGAGGTGAGTGTGTCCGGCAATAAGGAAGCGGCAGAGTACCTGGTGAGCAACTTCAACAAGCCTGTTCCAGAAGAGGTCAAGATCAGTACTAGTAGTACTGATAAAGAGAATTATGCGCCGCAGCTGCGGGAGGCTCGGGATTTAGAGAATTATGAGCTGCTGCTGCGGGAGGCTCGGGATTTAGAGAATGAGCTGCAGAAGCAGAAGGCTCGGGATTCAGAGAATTATGCGCTGCAGCTGCTGGAGACTCGGAACTATTTAGGAGAAACTCCGCTCTTCAGGGCAGCTGCTCTCGGTCACACGGACTTGGTCAAGCTTTATGCCGACAAACTACAGGCGGACAATCTTTGGAGGCACTTCCACAGAGATGACAAAATGTCCGTTCTTCATATCACAGTCGTTGCGCAACATTTTGGTCTCTCTCTCTCTCTCTCTCTCTCTCTCTCTCTCTCTCTCTCTCTCTCTCTCTCTCTCTATGTGAGAACCCGCAATGTAGATTAATAACTTTTGCTCTTTGTCTTCTACAACGCAGAGACTGCTATTTGGTTATTGGAGAAATACCCATCTCTAGCGCTCCTTGAGGAAGATAAAGGATTGACAAGCCTTCAGTTGCTAGCCCAAATGCCAACTGCCTTTTATCCAAATTTTGAAGAAAGCAAATGGAAGATGCTAATTTATTATTGTAAGTCCCATTACCCTACAAACTGCTATATGTGTGCGCACATACGCATGGTATATATACACAGGTGCAAGCATGTTTTTTTTTTTTTTTTTTTTAATGAAGCAGTAATCTCATACTTAATATCATTATATATGCAGGCCTTCCTGATGGAGGAAATGTGGTCACACCACATCAGAAGGATGATGTGGAGAGCGGCATGGATGGCAACCATCCCCGTCCATCCGTCTTTCGGAAAAAGCTTGCAGGTAATCAAATTTGTAATCTCATTAATTGATCGAATTGGATTTTTTTCACTATTCTAACGAAGTTGCATGCATTAAATGTTTGGCAGTTGTTATGAAGGCTTACTATTCATTATGGGACTCCCTTGCTAAAGGTTTGTTTATTTTCCGCCCCATTTTCATTAAAGCGAACTTTTGTTATTGGAACTCTAAAAAGAAATATTATTTACTTATTTCTTATGATTTTATATAACAAGATGAAGATTTCATAATAACTTCTTTAGAGAGCTGATAACATCTTCCTATGACACTTTAGTTAATGTATACATATGCTTGACCATGCGATGGATAGGAATAGGAGGCCCACAGAAAGAGGTAATCTACATGATATGGAACGAGAAGAAAAACAAAAAATTTCTGAAGAAACTCATCCAATTGCTCGTCAAGTGGGACGACCATTCTTTGTTGACTCCTAGTAAGCAAGCAAAAATCAGGACCATTTCTCTATGGGAAAAACCTGATAAAGAAAAGGAAGCAACCAAATCCGGTACGACAAATGGTGATGAAGGTGGTGAAAAAGGAAACGCGGCCGCAGATAAGCATTTCTCTTGGGTCAGGGAGATAACCGAATTCGATAGATATGAAAAAGAAAAGGAAGCAACCAAATCGAGAAAGGAGGCGAGGAGTGAATTATACAACTCTTCCCCATTGCTTATAGCAACTATCAAAGGAATTGAACCCATTGTACGGGAGATACTTGAGCAACGTCCTCAGGCAGCCGAGCATGTTAACCGTTACGAACGCAACATTTTGCATCTGGCCATTAAGAACCGTAGGGAAAATATCCTTGATCTTATCGAAAGCGAACCAACTCTGATGTCAAAGCTGAGTATGAGGATAGACCGCAATGGAAACACCATATTGCACCAGGCTGCAGATAGAACTTACTACTCTATAGCAGTGGCTCAGAAAGTAATAGGCCCTGCCATGGAATTGCAAAAAGAGCTGCTCTGGAAGCAGGTAATGTTCTCTTACTAGACTTATCTTGTCACACAGATATTTGTATTACTGATTAAGTCTATCGACCTTATAAATACTTATGTTGTTAGACAAATATTTCTATTACAAAATCTATACGTTGACATGATAAATGTGTACGTGTGTTTGTGTCAGCGTATAAAAGAGATGTTACCACCTCATTACATCATGCACCACAACGACAACGATCAGACAGAGGAGGAGTTGTTCAACGCTGGGCATGACGAGCTTCTGAAGTCCGCACAAGATTGGGTAAAAGAAACGGCTCGGTCATGCTCAACCGTGGCGGTGCTAGTGGCCACTGTGGTCTTTGCAGCCGCCTACGCCATTCCTGGGGGTAACGAGCAAAATGGTCGTCCTGTTTTCGAGAACAATCCTCTCTTTTGGCTCTTTACCAGCATGGACGTTGTGGCCATCGCCTGCTCATTATCTTCTGTGGCATTCTTTCTCTCGGTCCTCTCCTCCCCTCTCGAGTACCCAAATTTCGTTAAAAGCATTCCTCACAAGGTCATGATAGGATTCATCTTTCTCTTCTTGTCTATGGCAACCACCATGCTCGCCTTTGCTGCCACTATTTTGCTCTTGATTCGCATCGAGAAAAAATGGACCAAGTCTCTATTTTACCCTATTGCCTTTTTCCCAGTCCCTCTATTCGGCCTGCTTCAGTTTCCTGTGTATCAATTTGTCAAAACCATGTTTCTGAAAATGGATGCCTGGTTTTTCAAACCCTTACTCCGCTCCCTTGGCTTTCGCAAGAAGAAATTAATTTGGAAGACCAAGGCGCATTGAATCACATACACTTTTCGTCAGAGCACAATATATGGTGCAGATTCAGCATCTTGCAACATAAATATTTTATTTATTGTTATCATTTGAATATTTGGGATTTTTCTTATTTTCTTCCTATTTTAACAATGTTATTGTGTCTTCATTCACAAGTACGGGCAATAAGTGAAGAATAAAGGCTTGTCACAAATTGTTGCTAAAAATTATGTCTCTTGCATGCTTTTATTGATTTGTAATCATCATTACCTGGGTTCAAACCCTACTCTCTTCTCTTCGCATAAATTAAATAATGATATCGCTTGTAATAAAATTAAGAGAAAAAAAATCATATTTAAGCGTAATAAAGTTGATTAGACTAATCTAGACTCTTGGATTTAGCCTGTTGTACGAAGAATTGCAGGTAATGTTACAGAATCTATATGTGTGCTTCTTATAAGCATACAAGTTTAAACCACATTGATGTGCACACACATGTATGTATATATGTATATTTGGTAACGCTCCCTGTCTAGAGTCTTGTAACAGTGTCTGTATTTGTTTACACTGCAATCCCCTCTTAGAGGGCCATGCATGGCTCCTGAAGCGTGTGCGATAATTGCAGCCGATTTCATGGCTTCCATGGACTTGTACATCATGTAACAGTTGAATATCAGAGTGCGGAACAAACAAGACTACAAAATAATAGGAATTTTATTGAACAAATTGAGAATGCCAAGACGGCTACAAAAACCCTAGAGACTACATTGTGACTGACTTGATCCTCAAACTAAATTACAAGCTCTATTTATAGAGCAATAAACCTAAGAAACCATAATGCGTAAATGCCAAAAATACCCTACTACAAAATCAAAACAAATCTCTAATTAATTTCCTAAATAAACCTAATAAATTCCAACACCCCCCGTCAAACTCATGGCGGTACATGACATGAGTTTGCCAACAAGCAGATGTGGATGCAAGCCTCCAAATTCCAATGCCGATGCCAATACCGATGCTGATGCCGATTCCAATGCCGATGCCAATACCGATGCCAATTTCCGATGCCAATCAATACGAAATTTCACCGATGCAAGTGCAAGATTCCAATGCCAGTGCAAGATTTCCATGCCAGTGCAAGATTCCAATGCTAGTACCAGTGCAAATGTCGATGCCGATGCCTAACAAACAAACAAAAAATCCAACCAAATATTTTTTTTTCTTCCTTCTTTCTTCCTTTTTTTCCTTCTGTGCGATTCCTTCTTCTTCTTTTTTACCTTCTGTGCGAACCAACATCACCAACCTCCTTCCTTTTTTTCTTCTGTGCGAACCAACATCACTAGCCTCCTTTTTTTCTTTTTTTTTTTTTCCGCGAGGGTACGGTTGTGGACGGATCCAGATGCAGGGTGGGGCTGGGGAATGCAGAAATCCTAGTGCGATGGATTCACCAAATTCCTTTTTTCAAAAAACAGATTTTTTTTTTCCTTTCTTGAAGACTACCAAGGACAAACTGAAAACCAAACCAGAAAACGTAAAAAATCTACGGACAAGACTAACACAATTTGACGGTCAATACCGAAATCCAAAGACAAAGAACATAAACAGAAATCCAAAGACAAAACGAACAAAAACAGAGTGACCAAGAACAAAGGACACGGACCAAAGCGGAAGCGAAAGCCTAAACGAGACCCAAACTAAACCAAAAAACAAAAAGCGACAAAACAAATTGATACCAACAAGAACGGATTGAACCATAAGGATCGAACCTGCTTTGATACCAAGTTGAATATCAGAGTGCGGAACAAACAAGACTACAAAATAATAGGAATTTTATTGAACAAATTGAGAATGCCAAGACGGCTACAAAAACCCTAGAGACTACATTGTGACTGACTTGATCCTCAAACTAAATTACAAGCTCTATTTATAGAGCAATAAACCTAAGAAACCCTAATGCGTAAATGCCAAAAATACCCTACTACAAAATCAAAACAAATCTCTAATTAATTTCCTAAATAAACCTAATAAATTCCAACAGTAACTGGCCCCAGTTATAACTTAGCCAATGGGACGGCTTGTTAATTGCCTTTCAATGAAGTTTGTACTGTTAATTCGGCGGTACCTGTTGAATCGCCGTTTTATCTATAGGCTCGATCGTACTAAAAGATGGTCTCTGGCATAGTGAATGAAAATGATGCAGCACCTGATGTGCGAATTTTTTTATATGTGAATAAGTTCTTTTTAGTGAAAGATTTCCAAGGATGCCCAAAAGCCTACTGATTAAAGTGCTTATATGGTTTAAATACAAAGTGCTTTCGCTAAAGTCTCCTTTACGTTTTAGGTTGAATAAATTCGATTATCTCCAATTCCTCGGGTGGACGGATTCCATTCTTCAATTCTTGTCGAGAGATTCCATTCCTCTAAAATGGCTTGTTTGGTGCTGCAAATTGACTTGTCCAATTATACAGAAAATCAGACACAGATATTTACACAGCCGGTGACAGCCTCACACCTTTCAAAGGTTTACCCATCTCGAGTGGCAATGCCGAGTCGTGGTTGCTGACAATGTACATCGACGGACAGCTACAGATTACGAGGAAAGACAATTGCAGCATATCCGTGCTACTCAAGGAAGGCCGCGCGCAGCCCCTCCTTACTCACTGGACAGAGCTCACCAGAGCAACTTGTATCTTGTGTTGTATATATGTATGTACCTGTTCGAGGACATGAGACGTAATTTTCTACAAAGAAATGATAAACAAACACCCTTGTTACGTTCTACGGTTGTTTCCGTTTAGTTTATATTACTCAGCTACATCCCTCAAGTTAAAAAAAAAAATGATTTAACCGAGGCATGTGTTGCATGCCTGCAAAGGTAGATGCTTGTACGGATAAAGCATATTTTAAAGGGTAATAGAAAATGGTAATTTTATTTTTTGAACAATCGATATTATCTACACTAAGATTCTCTTCAATCCTGGGCTAAATGCCAAATTTCCCCCTATTCCCCCCCCCCCCAAAATCCAACCCAACCCAAGCCAAATGCCAATTGAGGGCCAAATTCCCCCCAAGGAATAGCCCAGAAACGCGTGGACTCTCCCTTTCCCAACCCATTCTTAGCCCGATCACGCACCCAACTCGCCCCACGCGGGCTGAGCCCTTCGACGCCCTACAGGGTGGGCCCCGCTGTCAGCGCGTGCCACCAAACCCAACCCAACGACTCTTTTTATCATCCAACGGTTGGGCTTTTTGGACCGTTGGTTCATCCAACGGTCCAGATTCAAATTTTTTTTTTTTAAATGTAATTTTAAAATACATTAAATCCAACAACTAAGATTGAATATAATCAAATCTAACAGTAAAAAAAAGATCTAACGACCCAAATTTAAATCCAATGGCTAAAATAATCAAAAAAAATTATTTAACTCAAAATTCACCAAAAAAACGGCCCGAATGCGCTTGCAAATGAAGGAAGAAGGGGATAGGGAGCAAGAGAGGTTCGAAATAAATTTAATGATGGAGGACCTCAACAAATACACTCCAAAGAGGAAGAAGTACTTACGTTGAAAGTTTGGTGAAAGTTGAACGATTGGTGAAAGTTGAAAGATTGGTGAAAGTTGAAGGCTTGCTTTGTGGAAAGATTTAGTGATTTTTCAATATTTATCGGAATTTAAATATTTTTAGATTAAAATGTTCATAAAATTAATTTACGATAATCTACATAATTTTTTTTTGTCACATCCCGGCCCCGCTCCACCACCGTAACATGATATTGTCCGCTTCAGACCCCGACCACGCCCTCACGGTTTTGTTTTTGGGAACTCACACGAGAACTTTCCAGTGGTTCACCCATAATGGGATTGCTCTCACAAACTACTCGCTTAACTTTGGAGTTCCAAAGGAACCCGAAGTCAATGAGCTCCCAAAATGCCTCATGCTAGGTAGGGATGGAAATATACATATAAGAATCACTTCCCTGGACGATGTGGGATCTTACAATTCACCCCCCTTAAAAGGCCCGATGACCTTGTCGGCACACCACGGCCAGAGTTAGGCTCTGATACCAAATCTATCACATCCCGACCTAGGGTCTACCACATCCCGGGCTCGCTCCACCAGCGTAGCACGATATTGTCCTCTTTGGGCCCCGACCACGCCCTCACGGTTTTGTTTCTGGGAACTCACACGAGAATTTCTCAGTAGGTCACCCATCATGGGATTGCTCTCGCGCTCTACTCGCTTAACTTCAGAGTTCCAATGGAACCCGAAGCCATTGAGCTCCCAAAATGCATCATGCTAGGTAGGGAAGGGAATATACATATAAGGATCACTCCCCTGGGCGATGTGAGATCTTACATTTTTAAAGTTAATTTAAGAAAGAAAAAAATAGCCTAAGTTCATTCTTTAATAATCCTAAGCTAAAATTTTAGGCCAGAAGGGTTGAAGCAGAAAAGTTGTTTATGGGCTAAAAAATTTGACTTTTAGCCCAATGGTTGGAGATGGTCTAAAGGAGTTGGACTTAACCTCACAATAAGCTAACAATAGAAAATATTAATTAATCTTTAAATATTCGATTGTTTTGTTAATTAATTAATTAAGCAAAGAAAGCATATATTAAGTACGTTGAAGCAGCAATAGCAGCAACCTCTGTTGGATAAATATTAGCAATCAATGATAAATGCGAATAAATAAATTAACAAAGTATGAACAAAACGAAATAATATTAAACAGACAAATTGAAGATCGAGGCTTAAACATAAATTTCGTCCCTACTCAATGGTTGTAGTTTTACGGACTTCTGCTTCACCAGGATTCAACGATCCAAGTCAGAATTCCAGCACCGAAAAACTTGACTTCTAGCGAATTTCTTTGTGATTCTCTTAGTAAGACAATTCTTCTACTCCCAATGCATACAATCGAGACTTCCTATTATGCTAGGGAAGCCTCTTTTGTCTGCCTTGCGTGGAAGCCTCTTCAAGTCTTCACGATTTGGCTTGCGGAGGTATATGGCTCCATCTATGGCTTGAATTGCCTGACAGAAGCGCTTTAGGTTCTCAATGGCAATACTCTTCGCAAGCCGGCAATACTCGTCAGTCGAGTCTGCAAAGCACTCATTAGCTAGCATCCGAAATGCAGATGTGAGCTTCTGATGAGGTGATAGACTTTTTTGGCCTACGACATCTATCTTCCTTGCAAAGTAGTGGTCATGATTGACAACTGCATTCAAGATGCTTTCAAAAAGAGGAAAACTAATGAAAATGGCTTGAAAACTTTGAGTTTTAACGATAAGGA